CCCCAGCACGCCCTCACCTTCATCTCACTCCGATGCGCCTGTTGCCAGGAAAGCAGGCTCCTCCGACCACAGTGCCCGGCAAACACCTGTCGGAGGGATGACCTGTGGCCGCCGAGTGGCACTTGGCTCAGCTGTGGGCCCGGCCGCGGGGCCCCCACAAACAGCTCCTTTTGGAGGTGGCTCCTGGGCGTCTGCAGGAGAAAGAGGGGCTCCGTGTAACAGGCCGGGCGACCCAGACGATGATTCAACCCGAAGGTATGCTGTCTGGTGAACGATGGGGTGAAAGGGTGGTTAGGGACACGGAGAAAAACAACTTACAAGAGCCGAAACCGGTGTGGCTCAGTGGATAGAGCGCCAGCCTGCGGACTGAAGGGTACCAGGTTCGATTCCGGCCAAGGGCATGGACCTGGGTTGTGGGCACATCCCCAGTGGGGGGCGTGCAGGAGGCGGCTGATCGATGTTTCTCTCTCATCGATGTTTCTAACTCTCTATCCCCCTCCCTTCCTCTCTGTAAAAAATCAATAAAATATATTTAAAAAACAAACAACAAAAAAAAACAACTTACAAGAGGAAGTCACGGCACAGGAAGGGATGTGGGGACGGTCAGTGAGGAGCTGGAAGAAGATAGAGTCGCCGTGTCCTCATCGCGAGGCGTGCTCTCTCGCCCCCCCTCGCCCTCTCTCGCCCCCCACATGGAAGGGGGCCACCCACCCAGCCGCCCGGCCCGGCCAGCACAGCACAGTCCTCGCTCGCTCCCTGGCTCCCAATCGGACCATCAGGACCAGTTTTCCGATCCATCTCCCAACGCCCTTCACCACTTTCGCCACATCTGCCTCTGGGACTGCACAGCATTTAATCATTTTCGTCACCTCGGCTCCCTTTTAAAAATTTTAAATTGAACCCGGGTCAGTGTGGCTCCGTGGTTGAGCATCGACCTAGGAAACCAGCAGGTCAGGGTTCGATTCCTGGTCAAGGGCACAGGCCCGGGTGGCGGGCTCGATCCCCAGTGTGGGGCGTGCAGGAGGCAGCCGATCCATGATTCTCTCTCATCATGGATGTTTCTCTCTCTCTCTCCCTCTCTCCTGTCCTCTCTCCGAAATCAATGAAAAAAAACTAAAAAAATGTTTAAAAATTAAAAATTGAGGCCTTGGCCGGGTAGCTTAGTTGGTTAGAGCATCATCCCAATACGTCGAGGTTGTGGGTTCGATCCCCGGTCAGGGCGCACGCAAGAATCGACCAGTGAGTGCATAAATGAGTGCAACAACAATCGATGTTTCTCTCCCTTTCTCTAAAATAAATAAATAAATAAATTTAAAAATTGTTTTAATTTGACTCTTGTTTCATCCTAGTTAGATTTGTGACACCACAAATTGAAGGGTTCACGATAGACACACACACCTACACCGATATATCCCAAAACACGTTAAAGTTACTGTGAGACTCTTCTTTTAAATGTCCGTATACCGCCCGGCCGGTGTGGCTCAGTGGTTGAGCATCAACCTATGAACCAGGAGGTTAGGGTTCAATTCCTGGTCAAGGGCACAGGCCCGGGTTGCAGGCTCGATCCCCAGTGTGGGGTGGGCAGGAGGCGGCCAATCCATGATTCTCTCTTATCATTAAAGTTTCTCTCTTTCGCTCTCCCTCTCCCTTCCTCTCGGAAATCAATAAAAATATGTTTTTTAAAAAAATAGCCTTGACCGGTTTGGCTCAGTGGATAGAGCGTCGGCCTGTGGACTGAAGGGTCCCGGGTTCGGTTCCTGTCCAGGGCATGCACCTGGGTTGCGGGCACATCCCCAGTGGGGGGTGTGCAGGAGGCAGCTGATCGATGTTTCTCTCTCATCGATGTTTCTAACTATCCCTCTCCCTTCCTCTCTGTAAAAAACCAATAAAATATATTTTTAAAAATAATAATAAATGTCCATGTACCACTTCTACAATTTGATCATAGGACACTTTGGGAATCTGCTATAGAAGAAGCTGGGAAATTAAAAAAAAATTTCATTAAAGAAGATAAATGTTACTCATGGGAACGGCTGACCGGGCGGGAGGTGACCGGGTCACTCGCACCCTCGCCTGATGCTGAGGCTGTGAGATGCCATGAACGTGGGTGGAGAGAGGGGAGTGGGATGACCACGCTGTTCACACACAGGCGCCAAGCACAGAACGAGAGTCAGACGCGGTGGCGGGAGCGAGCGAGGGGGACGAGCTAGGTCACTGCACACAGGCACGGCTTAGGGCTGATCCACCCGGATCTGGAGATAAGCTAGGCTTTCAAACTGTGGAACCCTCTCTAGAAAGAGGCATTCAGAATAAAAACGGTTAAGCCCTGACCGGTGTGGCTCAGTGGGTAGACCGTCGGCCTGTGGACTGAAGGGTCCTGGGTTCGATTCCGGTCAAGGGCACGTACCTTGGTTGTGGGCACATCCCCAGTGGGGGGCGTGCGGGAGGCGGCTGATAGATGATTCTCTCTCATCGATGTTTCTAACTCTCTATCCCTCTCCCTTCCTCTCTGTGAAAAACCAATAAAATATATTTTAAAAAAATAAAAACAGTTTTTTTAAAAAAGGTGCCTCAGGGGCCGGGGCAGGAGAGGACCGCTGTGTATTCTCAACATCGGAGCTTCTGGCCGTCTGTTTTGCCTGGCCCCTGCTGGCCGCAGCACCCCCACCTGCCCGTTCCCAGGGAAGATACGTCCCCATCTTTTCCACCCGCCTCCCCGTCTAACCCTGTCCTCTCCGGCCCCTTCTCAACTGGATGGGTGGGGCCCATGTCCGGGATCAGAGCTGAGCTGCCGGCTCAGGACGCAGGTTCTCGTTCCCGGTGGTTCGGCCGCCAGGATGGCTCTCCGGCAGGCGGGGGCAGAAGGGAGCGGGGGCAGGGCTGGGAGCCGGTGGCCTGCCCCTGGGACCAGGCCCTTTGGGGCAGGAGGTCCAGGCAGCGGAGGAGGAGGCGGCGCCCTCTGCAGGAGGCACCCTCCTCTCGCCCGTGGGTCGGCCGTGTGCCCTGAGTGGACCGGAGGGCACGGGGAGACCCAGGCCACGCCCCCGTGCTCCTGCATTCCCTCCTCTGTGAAACGGGGAGTCTTGGTTGCCAGGGGAGACACCCCAACAGAAACCAGCTTAGCAGAAAGGACAACAAACAGCTCAGGCAGCCCAAGGCCAAGGTCAACAACGGAGGGGGGAGGGGAGAGGTGCGGACGGGGACAGTCACACCCGGACAGGCTCCCCCCTCGGCCCCTCCTTGTCCTCAGGCTGCACCGGCCCCTCCTGGGGAGACACCGAGCGGGGAGGCCGGGTCAGCTCTCGCCCCTGTATCTGCTCTCCTCTCTCCCCCTCGGCTCCTGTCCCCTCGCTTCTGTGCCCTGGGACCCACTCCCAACAAAGCCGTAGGGCAGCGGTTCTCAACCTGGGGGTCGCGACCCCTTTGGGGGTCCAACGACCCTTTCACAGGGGTCGCCTAAGACCAATGGAAAACACATCTATCATTACAGATTGTTTTTGTGATTAATCAGTACGTGATTATGTGCAACAACGAAAATCCATCCTGCATATCAGATATTTCCATGACGATTCATCACAGTAACAACATGACAGCGATGACGTAGCAACGGAAATAATGTTATGGGTGGGGTTCATCACAGCATGAGGAGCTGTATTTAAAGGGTCGCGGCGTTCGGAAGGTTGAGAACCACGGCCTTAGGGCATGGGCTCGCTGGGGGCTGTTTGGGGAAACCTGGGCCCTCGCAGGCTGTGTGACGTTGGCTATGTGACTAACCTCTCTGTGCTTCCGTTTTCTCACCTGCAGAGGGAGCTCTAATAACCTGTACCCCACGGGGTGCGGCGAGTTAACACCCAGCAGTGTGGACACCTGCACTAAGAGCCGGTCTGACCCTTTTATTACGGGGACCCCGGAAGGCTCTGGACTGGGACGGGGGCAGGTCCCCATGAAGCTGGGGATGGGCTGCGGCTGGGGACCCCCCAACATTGGGGAGCTCCGGCGGGGGGTCTGGTCTGAGCCTGGGGACCTCTCCGCTGCTGCCTGGGCGGGCTGTGTGGGTGCCTCCCCCAGGGGACGGCCGAGCCACCCCAGGCCTCCGTGCTGGCGAGAGGCCCAGGCGAGGAGTCGGGGCCCGGGCGGCTTGGGAATGGCACCGCGGGG